AATACACTTTTTAAAATCTTGATGTCTTTGTTGATGCTCTTTCCTCAGGCAGATATTAATAATTACTCAAAGAGATCTACATTCTTCTGCCCAGAATGTGTTGAGGGAGGCATGAAGGTGTTGGGGGGGGGGATGAGGGAGGGAGGGGGAAGGAGGGAGGGGGAAAAGAATGAATGAATGAATGAATGAATGAATGAATGAGAATGAACAGAAGATGCTTCATTTCTGGCTTTGAAGATGGAGCCATGAGCCAAGGAGTATGGGTGGACTCTAGAAGCTGGCAAAGGCAAGGGAATAGATTCCTCCTAAGTTCTCCAGAGGAACACAGCCCTACTGACCTCTTCTAGACTTCTAACTCCTAGAACTGAAAGTAAGAAATTCTGTTGCTTCAGCTGATAAGTATGTGGTATTTTTTTTTTTTACAGCAATCATAGGAAATGACTGCACCATCTGACATGGAAAGTTAAATGCTACCTCATCCTAGATCAGTTTCCTCACTCCTGCATTCTCTTCCTCTTTTGCACCTGTCTTTTTGCATGTACCTTACTTGATGACATAGGCACAAGACTACTTTTCTTATTCTTTTTTCAGATGTAAGTGATAGAAACTCAACTAAACCTCATTTAAGCAAAAGGAGGATTTATCATCATGTAAATTGAAAAGTTCAGGGATGGAGCTTAAGGGAAACTTGGATCCAAGTGCTTAATGTTGTCAGATATTGGGTTCCATCTTTTGGCTCTGCTTTCTTCTGCATTGGCTTCATTACCCAGTAGATTTTCCCTTTACAGTGACAACAGATATCACCAGCACCTCCAGGCTTATATTTAACTATTATGCTGAAATAATTTTTCTCAATTGTTTAAAAAAGTTTTAGGATTGAGTCTTTTGGACTGGTCTGCAGCAGGTCCCTAGCACTGAATCAATTCCTATGGTCTATAGAGTGGAATGGGCTCTAATAAGCCAGACTTTGGTCAGAGTTAGGTGACCAGCTCATTCCAATTTGCTTGTTACTTTTCTGGTTTTATATTAAAAGTCTCAGGCCCCAGGAAAGTCCTCAGTTCAGGGCAAACCAGGACAGTTGGCTCCTTCAGAGTCCAGCTTAGAGATGTGGGGAGTTAAGGCCAGCCCAGTTTGACTCCCATAGACTGGCATGAAGGTAGTGGTTTCCCAGAGGACCCACCAGAAGATGGAGGAATAAATGCTGGACAGGCAAGAGCAGCACAGCAATGTCCTCTTCATTTGCCTTTCTAGATGAGTTGCCCCTTGAGAATAGGAGCTGAATTTTACTTATTTTTGCATCCTTTGAAAAATTGAGCACAATGCTTTCCACATAGAAAACCCTCAAAAGAATTTCTGCTGCTTTTTTCACAACTTTATTAAATATCAGAAAAAATATAGTTTAATGAAGGTTACACAGAAAAAAATTTAAAAAACATAGTGTAGTATCAATCTTAACTGAGATTATTTAAATATAATATTGCTAAAAATAGGACTAAGTGAAGAGTTTTACTTAAATGAACTTTCCAAGTCACTAATGTGCGATGATTTCCTAAGGTTCTTTCTTCTCTTATATTAAGTTAAAAACCTGCATTTTGTTTTCTTTATAGTAATATCTATTAAAAGTGAACCTTAAAATATGCTCCTAGTGATTGAACTTTGATTCTTTAGTTTCATTTTTGTGGTTATTTAATTAGAGCTAAGCAGTGGACAGAAGTTGTTTTTCTTGGGCAGGGTGTGGCTTTTGCTCTGAAACCTTTTTCCTGTAACTTCTAACATCTGACCTAACTCCTGCCAACAATGAGTTATACGTCACAATTAGGAATTTAAAGGAGAAATAATTGCATAAAGAGCTTTATCTTTAACTTTGAAAAGGATTCGATTTAAAACATATTTTGTGTTAATAAACACTAAATCTTGAGTCTAGTTCATGATTAAAAAAGAAACTAACTCTGACTACTTCCAAATCTGACATTACAAATGGAGACAAAGACTCTAGTTGGGTTAGTTTGTGTGAATTTAGCCAAGTCAGTGCTCTCTGGGAATGCAACATTCATTTGTAAATAATGAATTCAGACTATTGCCTTTAACTCATTTCAGTCTATAACACAAAATGGGTGCAAAGGCTTTATGTGTAAAATTCCCTTTTCAAAAGCTGAGCTAAAGAACACAAGTGAATATTCTTAAATACATCATCTATGTCTAAAACCCACATTAGAAATGAATTTGTATTGCTGCTACATTTTATCATTAAATTCCTACAATGAATTTATAGTAAACTTTATAGTGGACTTCTAAGCATCCTTTCCACCTCCCTACCACTGAGGAAAAAAGTATAGCGTTCGGGAAATCCTGTCCATTGCTGTGCTCAAGGTGTGGACCTAATTACTGGTAACTGCATATTCTCTGCCAGCTTAGATTTGAGCATGTGGCACTATTCTAGTCAAACTGATTGAAGGAGATGTTGCCAGAGGTTTTTGAGATAAAAAAAAAAATCCCAGAAGCCACTTCTGTCACCCAGTAGAGGTGAAAAATGAATCATTTGGCTCCTGTTGGTACTGGTAGTTATATTCACCAGTACAGGAGCCAGAAGTCACTGTATAATAATCTAGGACATGATTAACATTGTCTGGTTGTTAATTCAACCAGCCCTGAAGTCTCCCCTTCATTTGGATTCCTTGTTCCACAACATGGTAAGTATTTATTATTTAATCCCATTTGAAACCATATTTTTCTTTTGGTTGAATAGTAATATATGGGGGAATAACAGAAGCCTGGTGCCAGAAGGTCCTTATGTGTCATTTTGTCCCTCTGTTCTTGACCACTGATTCTTACAAAGGAAGTGACCAGACTACATGGGACTCTCGGATCTGATCCAGCCACACAGGCAGTATCAGTGGTTGAAGGTAGCCCTTTTCTTTGATGACTGGCCAGTTATTATCTATCATTGACCCAAACAAACAAAAACAACAAAGAAACAGAAACAAACAAACAAATGTACAGTTTGCAAAGTTCCTCTCTACTGCTGTGCTTAAGGTATGGACTACACGTCATCTATATGGCAGTCAATTTTGTCTACTATTTAAATAATTATGTCCCTAGTGAGTGAAAAAACATGATGTGCATAATCATACCCCCAAATGCCCAGAAAATATAAGTTCTACTGAATTGGATATGATACAAATTCTCCTAGAACTCAGGCTTACCCTATTGTTCAAATTGGGCAATATTTATTTTCAGGTCATAATGATCATTTCTAAAACTTAAAATGTTCAAATACTGTGCTGAGTACCTTACTTGCTTTACCTCATTTATCTAAGAGGTTGGTACTGCAATACTTTATTGTGCAGATGAGGAAATAAATGCTCAAACAGGTTGAGACAATTTCCCAATATTTTTCTGTAACTGAGTGGCAGAGTAAGTATTCAAATTCAGGCCTAACAGATGCAAGAATTTAGCTTGATCTGACAGCCCATGGACCTATGTATGGTACCCCAATTCCCCAATGCACCGGCTAGCCTTGAGGCTTGAAACTGGAAATAACTTATCAAGGTACAAACTAACAATCAACAGAATACATCTAGTCCCAATTGTATCCCCATTTGCTTCCAGATTCTTGGTAATGACCTTACTTTCAAGCTCAGACCAATGGGCCAAGCTCAGACTTTGATATTTAGGGTTACTATTGCAAAGAACCGATCCAGGTACTGGGTTTATAACTATTAATTCCTTAACACCTGAGGATATTGCATGTGATTAATATTCTTAATTCATTGAATTGTACTTCTGGCTGGGGGCATCTGGTGGAGACAGAGTTGTGAACCAGAATGAAAATATTTATCCTAGAACTTGCATTTTAATGAGTGTGAGCAATAAATCTAGAGCACCTTAAAATATCCCATTAGATCCAACAATGATTTAGTGAGTACTTCTATGCCAGGTTCTGTGTTTGGCACTGCAGATAAGAGAAAAAATATACTATTTTCTCTTTGTGTCTAGGCAACCCAAATAAATTTACCTCTTTAATTTCTCTTTTTGCTTGTAAGTTACATTATTTAACAGTTTGACTTACTTTCTTATTAAAGGCAGCAGCACCCCCCACCCCCCGACACACACACACACACACACACACACACACACACACATCTAACAAAAAATGCTCATTTCCCAATTGTGTGAAAAGACAAACCATAACAAATTTAACGTGAAGATTTTGATTGGCTTTTATTTGAACTTCTTGAATCTGGCAACACCTTATTCTCAGCAGAATGAATGTGCGGATAAGCTGAGCTGAAGAGTGGTTTCAAAGAAAAGGGTGCAGGAAAGTAGAAACAGTACAAAGGGGGGGGGGGATTATTTCTTTACTTTGTAAAGCTGAAAGCTGAGGGACTTTTCTTTTAAAACTGTTCAGTTTGGGAATTTAGCTATTAACCTTGGAACTGGCTAAAGCTTCTCTATACCTGTGCAGAACTGTGTGGTACAGCCAAAGCCATATTCCCTGTGGCCACCTAAAGAGTCAGATCAGAGTAACTAGGGGAATGGTAAGCGGTGGATTTGGCAACTGCCAAAGGACTTTCAGGCACTCGTTAGGATGATAAGGAAAGCGCGAAGTGGGAGAGAGGAACAAACCTGTTCTCCTAGGTCGGGTTCAACTCCATCAAAACACCTGTCTCCAGGTGCTACGTGAATCTAACCAATCAGAAAGGGAGTTACAATGAACACTAGCTCCGGCATCCAATCCAAGAAAATGTCTCGGACTCCGCCGCGGGGCCAGCTAGCGCTAAGCTTGTTCGCAGTCGCTCGCAGGACAGCTGCGCACTCTTGCGCCGGCAGCAGCGCGGATCTGGGGCAGTCCGGGCTGTTAACTGCGGTGCGGCCGCCCGCTACTGCGCAGGCGTCTCAGGAAGAGCTCGGCCTCGCCCCTCTCCCTCGCGGTTCCTGTCGCTAGCAAGTACCCACGAGTACCGGATTCCGCCAGTGCCGGGTTCCGCTAGCGCCGAGTTCCGTGCGGTGGCAAGAAGCGGCGGAGCTGCGGCGGCGACGGGTGAGTCTGAGCTTCGTCCTCCTGGCGTCCTGTGGGAAATGCCACTCGCTCCCTCCCGAGTCGGCTAGTGGGGTTGAAAATAAAGCTGGCGAGACTCTTTCCTCGCTCGCGATCGAGACCACACGCACGCACGCGCACACGCACACGCACTCCCGGACGCCGGCAGGGGCTCGACGAAGAACCCCTAGAGGCAGGGAGGGAACTAGTGGGCCGAGAGGCAGGCGGGGAGCGGTGAGGGAAGAGGAAAGAAAACTCAGCAGGTGGACGCGGAATCGGGGAAGAGGAGCTGTAGTGCTTGGGGTGCGGGGAGGGAAGTTGGCTGAACTGCAGTGGAAGGGGCGAGGCTGGGTCGGGGATGAAAGTGGAGGGCGACGGGGCGGGGTGGCCAGGTGCAGCGCTCGGGGACCGAAGGCGTTTGCTTTTAAGGGAACACTATCCAGGGACGTGCGTCTGTCTGCATATTAGGTTTAGGTACTACCTATGATTATTTAATTGTGTTTAAAACTTAGTTTTCTAGAAAACAAGCAAACCAGACAGTAAAAAGATACCATTTAAGTGCTTTTTATGGGCCGAGTACTGTGTTAAGTACTTTACAAACAACGCTACAACTTCTTGAGATAATAGCGGCCTATTTTACAGATGAGGAAAGTCAGACTCGGAGAAGTGAAGGGACCTGTCCAGGATTGTACAACTAATGACAAGCAGGTTTACATGAGGTCTGACTCCAGAAGGGCTTTTCTGAACCAGCAGGCGATCTAAAGACTTGACAAATACTGTAGGACATCAGCTGCCTATTTCTGTATTATGGTTTTTCTCCCCACTCTCCACTCCCCAGAGATTGTTTCAGTCTATTTTACAGAAATGAGCTTGCAAACACTCATTCTCTCCTTCCTTCCCCTTTATCCCTCTCCCTCATCTTCTCTCTCCTACCTTACACAAGTTGCAAAATATAATTTGGAAGAAATTTTGATGAAAACAAAGAGTACATTCAGAGTGGTATTTTGCAATGTCAGAAGTCAGATGAGTGTTACTGATTTGAATATGGTAGAAAATTTTGCATGCTAGAAAATTGGAGAATAACTTAGAATCCTAGATTTTTAAGACTGAGAAAGTTTTTTAGGGAGTTGTTATAGTTTTTCCTCAGACTGTTAATGAATTAACTTATAATAGCTGGGCATGGTGGTGCATGCCTATGGTTGGGGAGGCTGAGGCAGGAGGATCACAAGTTCAAAGCCAGCCTCAGCAACTTAGCCAGACACTATCTCAAAATTAAAAAAAAAAAATGTGTGTGTGGCGGGGTGAAAGATATGGGAAGAGATAATCTAAAGGTAGTCATTGATATTATCTACACAGACAATTGTTGGGAGCTGCCTTGGATGCAGAGGTTTTAAAGTCCTGGTGCACCGGGGGTTCAGAACAATTATTGCACCCCGCAAAACTTGAACTTTACCTCTGCTTGGATAATGAGGTGTGGCTCCAGGAGTAGGCAGTCATCTGTGGAGTTAAGTTACACTTAACCTGTTCCTTGGTAATCCTACCCCTTTGCTCTTTTTGGGATAGACTATTCCATGGAACAGCCTCCCCCAATAAAACCCTGGGTTCGAGGCATGCTCTCTTTTTCTTGCCTGACTTGCCTCCTTTGTGAGAGCTGCATCAGAGAAGCCATCACAGAACCCAAAGAAAAAGGTATTTCTCTGTCTCTGTGTGATTATTTCATGCCAGCCCAGTTCATCTGGAGTGACTCTGACTGGTTTAGTTGTGTGTTGCGACAGACAATAATGCTGTTTTAAAGCTGATAGGTGTTTCATTGTACGTCAGGGCAGGTGGTCTGGTCATGGTGACAGATATCCTTTCCCAACTTCACAAGGGCTAAGAATGCCAGTGAGAGTTGACTGACAGGCCTTCCATCCAGGCAAGAAAGTCATCCCAGAGGAGGTAGGAGTCCCCTGAATTGGGATATCACATTGTAGGAACTTCCAGTTGCTGTTGGGATATAGGGCAAATAGGTCTTCTTTTTTCCTTTCCTTTTGA